TGCAGCACACCAGACCTCCCTGTCCCTCACCATCTCCCAGAGTTTGCCCAAGTTCATGTTCCTTGCATTGGTGATGCCATCCAGTCATCTCAGCCTCTGACACACTCTTCTCCTTCTGCCCTCAATCTTTCCCAGCATCAAGGACTTTTCCAATGAGTTGCATCAGATGACCAAAATACTGGAGCTTCAGCTTCTGCATCAGAAAAAAGCCATTTGCCCAGCACCAAATAACCCCTCCCCGAGCTTCTGAGATCTAGTGACTGTGTTCTATAGTCTCCATCCCATCTTTTGAGATCCATGGCTCTTCCATGCTGTGGTCAGCGTGTCTCCTCCCTCTGCCCTGTCACCCCCACCCCCAGGCCCTTCCAGACTGTGGGAATTAAGCTCAACATCTACATGTGTTAGAGTCTTCTGTGAGGAAGATGGTCTCTTCTCCCTGCTTTACGTATTTACTCACTCACATATCTATATCAGCATGGACTTAGTATATTTTACACTCTGGGCCATAATCCTTTCTTTTTGTATTTTTATTTTGCCTGCACTAGGTCTTCATTGCAGCGTGAGGGTTTCTCCTGTGGCTGTGCATGGACTTAGTTGCCCCATGGCATGTGGGATCTTAGTTTCCCGACCAGGGATTGAACCTGTGTCCTCTGCATTGGAAGGCGGATTCTTAACCACTGAACCAGCAGGACTGTCCCTCATTATCTGTTTTGTTGCTCAGGTTCTTCCAGCCTCGGCCTCTGGGAGCTCTTTCAGGCTGGTTGCTGTGCCTTTAAGCATCTCGCCATACTTTTGCTCTGGGCACTTCTTTACTGTCTGCAATTATGAGATTCTCCAGGCTTAGCAGGTATTCCCCACTCCCCCCTCCCAGCCTCAGAATCAGAGACCTTTCTACTTACACTACCTTTGCCAACTGTTCAGCTCAGTCGGCGGTGAACACCTGCCGTGAGTAGCAGGCACTCTGCTGAGTGCCTGGCACAGACAGTGACTGGCTAGTAAATGTTTAGCAACCAGCTCTCTGAAAAATGTAGAGGCTGCACACGTATAGCATAAGGCTTAATGATATCAAGAATGTGTAACACCTTCTTTCCAAATAACGAGAAGTACAGTACTCTTTCCTGTAAATTCCACACAGCCAGCTGAACCTCATAGAATGCTTTCATTGACTTTCGTTGAATTCTTGTATCCATAGCCAATTTCTTGTTGTAACTGATGAATGAGAGAGCTCCCAACCTGAGCACTTGTGGATATTTGGGGGTATTTTGGATATATTTGCATTTATGAGTAATGCAAGTAAAAAAGAAAGACATTGGAACTTCCCACATTCATCAGTGATGTGACTTTTTTTTTTTTTTTCTGCATCAGATAGTAGTTTTCAAGTACTACAGGAATGTTAACTTCCCACATTCATCAGTGACCTGACTTTTTTTTTTTTTCTGCATCAGAGAGTAGTTTTCAAGTACTAGAGGAATGTTCCCTCAATTTTTTTGTGCTACTTATTATGTAATGGCTGAGGCACAACATGCTTTTTTATCATCTGCACTGTTAAGATTTTCCCCATTACCTTCTTAAGTCTAGGCAATCAGCAAAACAAACAAACAAAAAATCAAGCTCTATGTAAACCACTATTATTAAACCTATTTATAAAAGTTTTGGGCTTCCCAGGTGGTGCTAGTGGTAAATAAACTTCCTGCCAGTGCAGGAGACATAAGAGATATGAGTTTGATCGCTGGGTCGGGATGATCCCCTGGAGGAGGGCATGGCAACCCACTCCAGTGTTCTTGCCTGGAAAATCCCATGGACAGAGGAGCCCGACAGGCTACAGTCATGGGATTGCAAAGAGTCAGACACGACTGAGCGTCTGAGCACATACACATAGGTTACTTACCGTAATTTTGAAAATAAAAAACAACTTCTTTGTCTCCCTGTCTGGGCTCCACTCCTTCATGCTGACTGCGCTCTTAAGTCCCATCAGGGCACTCCAGACCCTGGTGTCCAGCCAAGTTTTCCTGGGTCTCCTTGGCTCTGATTGACTCGCTTGCCCCACCAGTGCACCAAGGAGTGTGATTGGCTGATGGCTGAGCCCCATCCACAGCAATGGACTGAACCTGGGAGAGAGATTCCTGAAATTTCCGAAGGACCGAGTGGGTTCTGGCCTGTTCTCACTTGAGGCATGAGATATGACCACTCCCTTTAGCACCTTGGCAGTTAGTGGGCAGGGAGGCACATCTACCTGAGCATCCCAGCATGAAAGGAAATTCTTCCACCACTACCTGTGGTCTCTAGATTTGTTTTCTAGCTAGCAGGGGATAAAACACACTTGAATTTACGCCTTCCCACCTTCTGCCCATTCATTTGATAAAACTTTATTAAACCAATGGGAAAAAATGATAGGAATGATTGAGGTGAGACAGCCCCAGAGGAGAGGAAAGGAGAGGATGGACGGAGAAGTCAGCACAGGAAGGAGCAGGGCATCTCAGCTTCTGAAAGGAGAGAAGAGAGCTTAGGCAGAGACAGAGGTGCCCACAGTGGAGAGAAATTTTAATCTACATGTAAGGTAGCAGAGTTCTGGAACACCACCAAGTCCATTCCTGAAACAGGTTTCAGTAGGGCCAGAGGCTGGCTGCTAGTCGCTCAGTCTTGTCAGCTCTGTGACCCCGTGGACTGTAACTTGCCACCCTCCTCTGTCCTTGGAATTCTCCAGGCAAGAATACTGGAGTGGGTAGTCATTCCCTTCTCCAGGGTATCTTCCCAACCCAGTGATGGAACCCGAATCTTCCACATTGCAGACGGAGTCTTTACCTTCTGAGCCACCAAGGAAGCCCAGGGCCAGTGTCATCATAAATGCTAGAGCAGGGACTTCCTGGTGGTCCAGTGGTTAAGAATTCACCTTGCAGTGCAGGGGACTGGGGTTTGATCCCTGGTCAGGGAACTAAGATTCCACATGCTGCAGGGCAACTAAGCCTGAGTGCCACACCTAGAGAGCCCACGCGCCACAACTAAAGGGTCCGCTCGCAACAACAACAAAAGATCTTGCATGATGCAACTAAGGTCTGATGCAGCACCCCCAAAAGTTTCTGGGCCTGGTGTCCCCAGGCAGTTGGAGTTTAATTTCCTCAAACACTGCTCTCACTGACTCCAAAAAAAGCCTTTGGGGGAATTCACCGGATTCTTGACTTGGCTGGGAAAAGCTGTAGCTAAAAGACTGGTTTGGGAGCCCAAGCGAGTGGAGAAACTTCCTCTTGAACACAGTCCAGCTGGAGTTATAGGAAGTTCTGTCTGCCAGTGCTCCCATTTCGGAAGCCTTCTGTCCTGTTTCTCATTATGTGTCCCTGTCTGGGGAAAGAGACACGTGACCCCACACAGGCAGCAAACCTTTAAACTTAGCTTCTTACTTGAAAAGTGTGTTGTTTCTTCTTCCAAGAGTCTAGGGGGAGGGGTGGGGATGGGTGATAAGAAAGGAGAGAGAAACAGAGAGGCAAAGAGCTCATCAAACTCCAGTCCCACCACCCCCTCCACCATCGCCTGAGCTTGGTCAGTTCCTTAACCCAGCAGTCCCCCAACCTTTTGGTCACCGGGACCAGTTCCATGGAAGACAATTTTACCATGGACCCAGGTGGCAGGGGGTGGGCTGAGGGGTGGTTTCAGGATTTCTGAAGTGTGTTACATTTATTGTGCACTTTATTTCTATTATTATTACATCAGCCCACCTCAGATCATCAGGCATTAGATCCCAGAGGTTAGGGACCCCTGCCTTAACCTCTCCAAGCCTCATTTGTAAACCGGGCACAAAGAGATCGCCTCCCCCTATCGTGAGGAAGATGAGTAAAGTACAATAAATGGTAGCACTCCCGATGTCATGTCTTAACCACTAGGCAAGGGAAGAAACTGCCATGACAACATCAAGCCAAGACAAAGCCAGGTGTCAGCACCTCTCTCAGCATTTGCTTCTCCCGGTTTAGATAGATCTTGATGTGCTCTCTGTTGAAAGTAGCTATAAACATCTTCTGCTGGGGTCCCTCGATAGATATTTATGGAGTATCTGCCAAGAATAGGGTGTGGTGGGTGTTGAGGATCACAGGCTAATGAGCCAGCCGGGGTGCCTGCCACCCCATAGCTCTTGGCTTTGGGGGACAGATGCAGTAGGAATGCCAGAAAGACACGCAGTGTGGATGTAAAGAAAGCAGGCCATGGGGTCCTGGAGAGCTGGGCTTGAATCTCGGAGATTTGTTAATTCATTATTTAAACCAGTACTTTTTAAAACAATATTTATTTATGGTTGCACTGGGTCTTCATTGCTGCCCGCAGGCTTTCTCTAGTTATGGCGCACGGGGGCTACTCATTGCAGTGGCTTCTCTTGTTGCAGGGCGTGGACTATAGACTCACAGGCTTCATTAGTTGTGGTTCGAGAGCTCTAGAGCATGGGCTCAGTAGTTGTGGAGCATGGACTTAGTTGCCTTGCAGCATGTGGGATCTTCCTGGACCAGGGATTGAACCCGTGTCCCCTGTATTGGCAAGCAGATTCTTAATGGCTGGGCCACTAGGGAAATCCTTAACTGATATTTGAGGGCCTACTCTGTATGCACCAAGGGTTTATTCTAGGTGCTGAAGATACAGTGTTGAGCAAAATGGACAAAACGCTCTTATGTCTTAGAGATGGCATTCTACCAGCTCAAATCTATGATCTTGGGAAGGTCACTAGGTCTTACTCAGCCTCAGGCTCATCACAGAGTGTTAGGTGTATTAAGTGAGGTAATGGATGCAAATCTCTTGGCAGGGTGCTTGGCATGAAGGCTGCACCCAACAGATGGTGGTGCAGTGACGTGCAGTGTGATCCATGTGGGGATCACCATCCCAGATTTGGGGAGTCCGGGAAGGCTTCCTGAAGGAAGTGCCTTATATGATGAAACCTAGGACAGCAGTCACGTCGCTGGGACAGAAGGGTGGAGACCACCCCAGCTGCTCATAACCTCCCCTGACCCTCTCGTCCGCCCCTGCAGGTCTCCTTCCCATGGGCGGCAGGCCCAGCACCTTGGCCCAGGCCACAGCCATCTCGGGCCACCCAGCAGCCGAACCAGTCACCCTCGCCACCGCAGGTCCCCTTCCACCCGGGCGTCCGGCCAGTGCCAGTGCAGAGGAGCTGGTCCCAGGGCTTCCCCAGGCCCACCATGGTCCCGCCTGCCTCTCACAAGCGGCCCACGAGTGCCAGCGGGAAGATGTTCTCCTTCATGGTGGACGGCGCTGCCCATGGGGTTCCCATCATCAAACAAGGTACTCAGGGGCGCTTCCGTGGCGGTTGCGGGGACGGGCTCATGGCCAGGAGGATGGGTCTCAGTCTTTGCTTAATTTCTCCAATTCTAAAGTGCAACATTATCAATTGTGAAAAAAACAATTGGGATAAACAGAAAACAGTGAAAGATCTCATCCTTACCATCTGGACTGCACCCTGTTGACTTTTTGGTACAAATCCCTCCAGATTTTGTACCCATCCACACATATCAGTCAGTACGTCTGCAATGAATGTGTGTGTGCGTGTGTGTGTACATATACATGAATATATATGAATGTGTATCAGAATCTATATTTATATACTTTGACAGAAATATGGGTAACTGAAATCCCTCTTGCCTTCAGAGGTTTTAAATATTTTATTACCATTTTGCAAGTTAGAGGAGACAGAGGCTTATGGAGAAAATTACTTCTCTGGAGGTGATACATTCAATCTAATCTCACCTGATGTTTTTTGGTGAAATTTAAGGCTGGTTATCTTGAGGACTGTCACTCGCAGCCTGGTCACTTTGGGGACACAAAGCCATCACGGATTCGTTTCCCCCTCATCCGCCCCAGAAGGCTTCATGGCATTTCAGGAGGAGACTTTTCGTCTGTCACCATTCTCTCGGCCTCACCAGCCTCACTGGCAGAGTAGATAGGTCTGCTTAGCCCCTGGCATGATTCCCAGATTTTTTTCTGTGGCCTCTGTCAAGAAGGTCCCATTCTCTGTCCTCTGGGTCCCAGCCCTAGACCCTTCTGAGTCCCCAGATCTCTCAACGGCTCCACACACTCCCCTGGTCTCCATCAGGACCACTCACCTAGTCACCTCACTCAGCCATTCAAGTAATAGTTATTAGGCTACTCTGAAGGTAGTGAGTTATCTCAATTGATTGTTCACAGTCAGTTACAGGTCAGGTCAGTTCAGTTGCTCAGTTGTATCTCACTCTTCGCGACCCCATGGACTGCAGCACGCCAGGCCTCCCTATCCATCACCAACTCCCAGAGCTTGCTCAAACTCACGTGCATCAAGTCGGTGATGCCATCCAACCATCTCATCCTCTGTCGTCCCCTTCTCCTCCCTTCAATCTTTCCCAGCATCAGGGTCTTTTCCAATGAGTTAGTTCTTCGCATCAGCTGGCCATAAATATTGAGGTTTCAGCTTCAGCATCTGTCCTTCCAATGAATATTCAGGACTGATTTCCTTTAAGATTGACTGGTTTGATCTCCTTGCTATGCAAGGGACTCTCAAGAGTCTTCTCCAACACCACGGTTCAAAAGCATCAATTCTTTAGCACTGAGCTTTCTTTATAGTCCAACTCTCACATCCATACTTGACTGCTGGAAAAACCATAGCTTTGACTATATGCACTTTTGCCAGCAAAGTAATGTCTCTACTTTTTAATATACTGTCTAGGTTGGTCACAGCTTTTCTTCCAAGGAGCAAGCGTATTTTAATTTCATGGCTGAACTCACCATCTGCAGTGATTTTGGAGCCCAAGAAAATAAAGTCATGTTTCCATTGTTTCCGGAATGGAAACATTGGGACCAAATGCCATGATCTTAGTTTTTTGAGTGTTGAGTTTTAAGTCAGCCTTTTCACTCTCCTCTTTCCCTTTCATCAAGAGGCTCTTTAGTTCTTCGCTTTCTGCCATAAGGGTGGTGTCATCTGCGTATTTGAGGTTATTGATGTTTCTCCTGACAATCTTGATTCCAGCTTGTGCTGCATCCAGCCCAGCATTTCACATGATGTACTCCGAATATAGGGCTTCCCCTGTGGCTCAGCTTGTAAAGAATCTGCCTGCAATGTGAGAGACTTGGGTTTGATCCCTGGTTGGGAAGATCCTGGTTGGGAACTATACAAAAAAGATCTTCACAACCCAGATAATCACAATGGTGTGATCACTCACCTAGAGCCAGACATCCTGGAAAGTGAAGTCAAGTGGGCCTTAGGAAGCATCACTACGAACAAAGCTAGTGGAGGCAATGGAATTTCAGTTGATTTATTTCAAATCCTAAAATATGATGCTGTGAAAGTGTGGCACTCAACATGCCAGCAAATTTGGAAAACTCAGCAGTGGCTGGAAAAAGTCAGTTTTTATTCCAATCCCAAAGGAAGGCAATGCCAAAGAATGTTCGAACTATCACACAATTGCACTTTTCTCACATGGTAGCAAAGTAATGCTCAAAATTCTCCAAGCCAGGCTTTAACAGTACATGAACCAAGAACTTCCAGATGTTCACGCTGGACTTAGAAAAGGCAGAGGAACCAGAGATCAAATTGTCAACATCTGTTGGATCATCAAACAAGTGAGAGAGTTCCAGAAAAACATCTACTTCTGCTTTATTGACTACCAAAGCCTTTGAATGTGTGTCACAACAAACTGTGGAAAATTCTTAAAGAGACAGGAATACCAGACCACCTTACCTGCCTCCTGAGAAATCTGTACGCAGGTCAAGAAGTAGCAGTTAGAAACAGACATGGAACAATGGACAGGTTCTAAATTGGGAAAGGAGTACATCAAGGCTGTATATTGTCACCCTGCTTATTTAACTTATATGCAGAGTGAAAGTGAAAGTCACTCGGTCGTGTCTGACTCTTTGCAACCCCATAGACTATACAGTCCATGGAATTCTCTAGGCCAGAGTACTGGAGTGGGTAGCTTTTCCCTTCTCCAGGGGATCTTCCCAGTTCAGTTCAGTTCAGTTCAGTCTGTCAGTCATGTCTGACTCTTTGTGACCCCATGGACTGCAGCACACCGAGCCTTCCTGTCCATCACCAACTCCTGGAGTTTACTCAAACTCATGTTCATTGAGTCAGTGATGCCATCCAACCATCTCATCCTCTGTCATCCCCTTCTCCTGCCTTCAATCTTTACCAGCATCAGGATCTTTTCAAATGAGTCAGTTCTTTGCAACAAGTGGCCAAAGTCAGTTCTTTGCATCAGGCTTGACTGGCTGGAGGATCCACTTCTAAGACAGCGTGCTCACATAGCTGCGAGCAGGAGGCCTCATTTCCTCACCATGGGGTTCTCCCCAGAGAGTGGCTCCAGTGTTCTCATGAACATCAGTCTGCAGCTGGCTCCTCCTGAGCAAGTGATCCAGGAGAGCAAGGTGGAAATTGCAATGTCTCCTGTGACCAAGCCTCAGTAGTCACTCTCTGTCATTGCTGCAGTGTCTTATTGGTTACATAGGGCGTCCCTTTCCAGGATGGGAGAAGACTACACACAGCTGAAGACTTGGATACCTAGTTGCAGCTGCATAGTTCTAGAGTCTGCTTCCTGCCTGCAGGAACTTGTGGGTCCAGAAGCTTCTTTTACTTCTGTGAGTCTGTCGGTCTGCGTTGCCAGTGCTTCTTATTTGGGTTCATTCTATTAGGTGAAACCCATGTTGTTGTTCGGTCACTCAGTTGTGTTCAACTCTTTGCAACCCCATGGAATGCAGCACGCCAGGCTTCCCTGTCCTTCACCATCTCCTGGAGCTTGCTCAAACTCCTGTCCATTGAGTTGGTAATGCCATCCAATCATCTCATCCTCTGTCGTCCCCTTTTCCTCCTGCCTTCAATCTTTTCCAGCATCTGGGTCTTTTCCAATCGGCTCTTCCCATCAGGTGGCCAAAGTATTGGAGCTTCAGCATCAGTCCTTCCAATGAAAATTCAGGGTTGATTTCCTTTAGCATTTACTGGTTTAATCTCTTTGCAGTCCAAGGAACTCTCAAGAATCTTCTCCAGAACCACAGTTCAAAAGCATCAGTTCTTCAGTGGTCAGGCTTCTTTATGGTCCAACTCTCACATCCATACATGACTACTGGAAAAACTATAACTTTGACTAGATGGACCTTTGTCAGCAAAGTAATGTCTCTGTTTTTTAATACATTATCTAGGTTTGTCATGGCTTTTCTTCCAAGGAGCAAGTGTGTTTTAATTTCATGGCTGCAGTCACTGTCTGCAGTGATTTTGAAGCCCAAGAAAATAGTGTCTCTCACTGTTTCCGTTGTTTCCCCATCTATTTGCCATGAAGTTATGGAACCAGATGCCACAATCTTTGTTTCTTGAATGTTGGGTTTTAAGCCAGCTTTTTCACTCTCCTCTTTCACTTTCATCAAGAAGCTCTTTAGTTCCTCTTTGCTTTCTGCCATTAGGGTGGTGTCATCTGCATATCTGAGGTTATTGATATTTCTCCCAGCAATCTTGATTCCAGCTTGAGCTTCATCCAGCCCTGCATTTTGCATGATGTACTCTGCATATAAGTTAAAAAAGCAGGTTGACAATGGGCAAAACCCATGCTCACAGGATTTTTTTGACACAAGCCCTTCCACCTTGGGCTTCTGCCAAGACTGCCCAGGCTTCTTAGAAGCCCAGTCCCTAGACCAAACGTCCTCTGGGACACTACCCTGAGTCTGTGTTCTTAACACAGGATTTTTACAGTCACTTCAGTTTCTTCTTTAGATTGTGTTTTCTTGAGAGCACCCTTGATTTGATCTTTACCCAGAGTCTGTTTCTTACGTGTCATTTGCCACCTGCACAGCCAGGGAATTTTCAAGCCCAGAGCATTGAGTCCTGATTGAACAGCCCTTCTTTAACTGTCTCTACCCCTCACATGGGCTTCCCAGGTGGCAGTGGTAAAGAAACCGCCTGCCAGTGCAGGCAGTGCAAGAGACACGGGTCCAATCCCTGGGTCAGGAAGATCCCCTGGAGTAGGAATGCAACCCCCTCCAGTATTTCTTGCCTGGAAAATTCCATGGACAGAGGAGCCTAGAGAGCTACACTCCATGGGGCTGCAAGGAGACATGACTGAGTGACTGAGCACCCCTTCACATTTCACTGTAAATAAGTAGTAAGAAGTAGCCAGGTGCACCTTCCACAGCTCTTGCCTGGATCTCTCTTTAGCTTGATCAGTCAGCTCGTCAGGAACATTTTCTCTTCCCACATGATGACAGGCAGTGTGCTATTAAAACTTCTGCCACCACCTAACAAGGACCCCTTGACCCAGTAACATTTTCCT